CAACGGCAAGAGCCGGTTTCCGACTTTGATCGCAAACGCTACAACGCACAGCCCGAGAAGTGGTGGAACCAGTTCTACAAAAACAACAAGACCAACTTCTTCAAGAACCGCAAATGGCTGGCACAGGAGTTTCCTATTCTAGAAGAACTGGGCGCCGAGGATGGGCCAGAGGCTACGCTGTTGGAGGTCGGCGCCGGGGCAGGGAACAGCGCCTTTCCCATCCTGCAGAGAAGTCAGAACCAGCGGCTGAAGATACACGCGTGCGACTTCTCCAAAAAGGCAGTCGAGCTCATCCGCAACCACGAACTCTACGACCCGGAGCGCATACAAGCTGACGTCTGGGACGTGGCCGCCGCTCCCGACTCGGAGAACGGCGGGCTCCCCCCAGGTCTGGCTGAAGGCAGCGTAGACGTTGTGCTCATGATCTTCATCTTCAGCGCGCTGAGTCCCAAGCAGTGGGACCAAGCCGTCCGCAACATCTGGCGGGTTCTCAAGCCGGGCGGCCAAGTCCTCTTCCGCGACTACGGCCGCGGCGACCTCGCCCAAGTCCGCTTTAAAAAAGGCCGTTACATGGAGGAAAACTTCTACGTCCGCGGCGACGGTACGCGCGTCTACTTCTTCGAGCAGTCTGAACTCGAGGATATCTGGGGCGGCGCCAGAAAACGCGATACTACCATTGGCAACGTGGCGGACACCACCATATCCCAAACCGAGGCCGAGGGTGTCATCGCGGATAAGATGGAGAGTCTGTCTCTCCACGATCCTGGCATGCAGACGAGAGAGCAGAGCCACGATGACGTCAACGATCTGGACACTCCCAGGCCGGGTTTTGAAATTGCGCACATTGGCGTCGACCGACGGATGCTGGTCAACAGGCAGAGGAGGCTGAAAATGTATAGGTGCTGGATGCAGGCTGTGTTTCGCAAGGCAGGCATGGAGAGCGAGGTGCCAACGAGCACGCTGAGGCAGGACAAAGAAGACGCTGCAGAGGAAGAGGAAGAGGGGCAGAGTGGCGTGGGAAAGGAGGATGCAGTGGAAGGAGGGGGCGTTAAGGTTTGAGGGTCCGAATCGTGAGGGTGGAATGCAAAGGTTGCAGTGGTGGCCTGTAGTGGGGATGAATGATACCATGACATATGAGAGAGAAGACGTTGTAAAAGTAGAGTATACTATGCGTCAAACCACTGTTGTGGTTAGAAAGCAGCGCTAGAGAGCACACTTGATTGACCCGTCGTGTTGTCTCCCGCCTCGTGGGTCTCATGGATCATACACAGCAGCAGATGCAAAAGCCTTTGGTCGAAAATGCACTGAATTGTGGTGTACCATGAGACAAAGACCGCTATGCTACGCTAAACTACCAGGCTCGTGATACAAGCTATGATGCGAACCCAACACCCAATGCTGCGCTTTCCAGAACCAGCACCTATAGAGCCTCAACCGAGGGTATCACAAGAACCGGTGCAAAGCCTACCCTCCAGTCCACAATCATGACAAAACTTCCCTGCACACGTCTAGTTCCCCTCAAGAATCCCCTTGAGAATCCCTGCTCCAGGTCCTACGAGTGAATCCGCCAACTCCTTTTCTCCAACAACACTAGCAACCCTGCGATCCTCTACCGCAACCCCGGGGAAGGCTTTGCCCCTGCCTCTCCGGCTCGGCGTGCCAGCGCCAACATCCAGCGACCCCGCTTTGCCCTCCACCGCTGAGACAAGCGAGAGTGTTTCCAGACTGCTCACAATGTCTCTGAACTCTGTGCTCGTCAGAGGATGCAGTATGTTTTCTCGTTTGCATAGCACGGTGTAGGCTTCGAAGAGTTCCTTGATGCTAGGGGATGTAGTGTGGGATCGGGAAGGTGTGGCCAAGATGCTATCGGCGGCAGTGGCGCGCTTCTTCTTCTCAATAGCAGAGAGCGAGCAGAGAACGGCTTTTTGTTGCAGATTGAGGTTCCGCAGGCGTTGGCTGGTGCCGTTGCTGAAGACAGCTGCTGTAATTCTGGCCATGTGGGCAATGGTGGCGCGCGGTGCAGTTTCGACGGTGAGCGAGGCGAGGGAAGCTGCGATGACGCTGTTTAGGTCTTTGGTTTTGGCGGGAGAGCGGATGGCCGGGGAGGAGAAGTTGATGTTCTCTACAAGCGGTGTTTTCGAGGGCGAAGGCGTGGGAGATGGTGTGATTTCTGTGGCTTTTTTCGCGTGTCGGTCGCGCGTGTCGGCTTCGACGAGGTCGATTGCTCGCCGGCAGATGTCAAAGGCTTTGCGCAGGTCGCCGGACTGGGCGGCTACCTTTTTGGAGAGGAACACAATGGCGGTTGGGTGGATGAAGGGCAGCTGTGTTGAGCCGGCTGGGAGAAGGGCTTTGAGTTTGGCAGTGATGACGGAGGAGATTTGGGCGGCATTGTATGGGAGGAAAGGCAGTAGCTGTGGCTTGAGACCGCGGGCCTTGAGTCGCGGGAGAAAGCGATCCGTGAGATCCAGCGCGTTGGCAATGCCGACCAGCACCAGCCCCGATGCCTTTTGTAGTGACCACTCGAAGATGTTGTAGAAGAGCTCGACGTCGAGCTCGAGCAGGTGGTCCACTTCGTCGAGGGTAACAACATACGACGTCTGTCGCTGCATGAAGACGGTCCGCAGCGCTTCCATCTCGTCGCCCTCTGCAACTTCGGTGATGTCGACAAAGTCTTCGAGCAGCGTCCTGTACAGATCTGTAGCGTTCTTCACGCTCATGCAGTTGATGTAGCCGGTTCTGACAGACTCGTCCGCGGAGACGGTGCGGCAAACATCGTTGACAAAGGCGCTCTTGCCGGTGCCGGGCGGGCCGGAGACGTAGATGCAGCCTGAGGTCTTGGCCTTGGTTCGGCTTGTGATGAAGGCCGCGAGCTCCCTCCTCTCGGTGTCGCGGCCGAACAGCGCGGTGGGGGCAGAGCCTCTTGCGAAGACCTGGCGCGCTTCGTGGTAGATGGTGGGCGCGGTGCTGCGCGGAGTGCCTGGGGTGTGGGGAGTGCGAGGCGTCAGCGGCCGGCCGGCGATGATGAGTCGGTGTCTGGGTGTAACGGCCACTTTGCCGGCAAGTGTGTCGCGATGCCTGGGCGTCGAGGGGGTAGGCGCGAACTTGTCTGGCAGGTCGACGAGCGCCTTCTGCGGAGAGTTTTCTTGGGCAGGACTTGTGCGCGCCTTCCTTCCGCGTCTCGCCGCCGCCTTGTCTCCGGGCTCGTCCACATGCTGCTTCTTCGGGGTGACGAAGGGGTTCTCAATCTCGCCCTCATCGTGTATCACGAACTGCGTCCTCCGTTTTGCGCGTGTTGCGAGGTGGAGCTTGGAGTCTGCAGAGCGCGTCAGGGACGTCCCGTCGTCGATGCGTGCAGAACTACGCGTTCTCTTTCCAAGGACGGTAGACGCCATCGTGTTGTGCGGCGGCAAGGTGTGATGCGTGGTTGTGGAAGTTGCGAAGCACAACGATGGAAGGAGCTACCTAGGTAGGCGACACCTGGGCAGGCACGCGCGACGCGATCGCGTTAAGTGTTCCAAGATTGGCCTAGTGCCGCGCCCGCATTCAGCACCACCTAGGCCCATCCGGGCTGAGGCTTCACGGAAAGCACACACCAGGCGAGACCAGCAGTCTTCCATCATGTACTGTCGTAGCGATCGAGCGTCGGTCGGACAGCGCTCAGTGCGTCACCCTGATTCTGTCGACTTGTTTGCTAAGAACCCTTGCGCCTCATGGCGCTCTCCAACGACATCACCCCCGTTTAATGTCTGGTGCACATCTACTAATCCCGGAAAAACGCGCAGAATATGGTCACCACCGCTCCACTGCCACTGCGTTTGCGTGGTACAATTGGGGTGCTCTTGGCACTCCACGGTCCTACGGGTGGTGCAAGAAGCAGGGCTGGTACTAAGCGTACGACGTGGGCAATCGGGAAACCTGGTAGCATAAGGGCCTCACGCCCAGTGCACATCAATGGCCATCTCTCCCTTTCCCCAGTTCCCGCATCACCCCTCCCGAGCCAACCGCGCGGTGCGGGGCATCGCCAACAGAAGAGCGCGAAATGCCATATCCAACATATCCGTCGTGGTCACATGGCTTGGACTTCTTCCCAGAGGCTTATCCGTACCGCTATACCAGTCGACGATCGTCTCGAAGGTCGCGCGTTCCTCGATGGGCATTTTCAGAGCTCGCAGTAGGGCCATGTTGCGAGTTTTGTGTCTCTCATGACAAGATTGTACGCTACACGCTGGCCACCTAACCCCTCACCGCGCCCGTCTGACCATCTACAGCCAAGTCTAGAGGAAGGTCTGTTTGAGCTGGGGATGATGGCGCCTCCCTACTTTGACCACGTCCTGGAAGCTTACCAGGACATCCACTACCACTACAAGCGTGGTTTCGACCAACATGGCCCTGGATCTTACTACATCTCCCGCGAGATTAGGCGGCTATCAGAGCTGCTACGCAAGCTGTACTTTGCAACAGGTATGCGGGAGCTGGCTTCGTGGTCAAACCAGCTGAAGTACATGAGCAGCGACGTACAATTGGGACCCGGGCATCTTCAGCTGAGCACACTACCGAAGCACCGGCATAATTCTTGGTTCCTGCATTAGCGGATGGGGTGATAGATGCAGGCGCTTGGCCTGGCGGTGTTGTGCTCGACGAACTCATGTTGAACGCTGTATTGTTCCGTAGACATGGCCTGCACCCTCCTCAGGCAACCTGTTGCGGTGTACGTAAAAATGTTCGCTGCTGCCTGGTGCTGCTGTTTTGGCGATACAGCCGTCATGACGTCAAAGTGAAAGACCGGCGGAAGGTCGCGGTGACCGTGGAATTGTCCCGCTTACTTTACTATAGTCCGCACGAGCTTGTTATCTTGGTCAAAGGAAGCAACGATTGCTCCTTACTTTTCGGCTTTCTATTCCAGATCTAATGTCCCCACAATCACAATTGCACGTTGGCTGAACACATTTGCGTACCTGAATATATTCGACTACAAATCGAACCTTCTCTTACCTACGAACATGGCCATCCCGCAAGACTCCGCCACTGCGAATCGGCCATCAAAAACGAAGGGCACACAGCTAGCACCCGAAGAAAATAGCGACATCGCGCGAATCAGAAATTGTCTCCAAGGTGGCGCAGTCGCGGCCGAGGTCGCATCAGAAGGATACCGCGTCTGTCGCATCAACGCCTTTCTTCGGCGCGACCTTCAACAAGCTCGCAATGAGATTCGTAAGAACCGCGTCGACAGACAGACACAATCTGTTCAAGAAGATGCTCTCAAGGAACTACGTGATGAGTTGCCCGCAACGCGCCAGATGCTCGAGCGCCTCTGGGGTTTGCTCGAGCAGCGGAATGTCAAGATACCCGACGACGTCAAGGCCGACTATCAAGCGCTGAAGGCCAAGGACTCGCATGACTGGCAGCCCCGGCAGAGGGTCAGGACAGTGAAAAGCGTAGTGGCAAAGGGCAAGAGAATCGAAAACCCCAAAACGAAGACGGAGAGGAAGGCTGAAAGACAGCGGGTCGATAAGTTGCACAAGCGTCTCGAAGAAGGGAAAGCCAAGCAGACCAAGTTTCTGTTACACACGCCGGACGGCGAAATGTACGACGCACGGAAGCCTGTCCTTATTCCAGACGAAGCTGGAGACGAGGACGTTGCCGGCGAGCAGATGACAGCGGAAGAGGCGGCAGCCATCGAACATGCTGACTTCATGAAGAATGGCAGTTCTTACCGACCCCGGGCGCTTACTCTACCGTCTGGGCTTGTCGCGAAGAACGTCGTTGCGGGAGTCAAGCGCAGGTCAAGCGATTCGAATCCCTTTGCGACACTCAAGATGGGTGAAATAGAAGGCGTGTTCGTGTCGATCGCGGAGAGCCAGTTGGGATGAGTTTTGTTATCATCGGGGGGTATGGAGGTCTTCAAGATGTCTTTGCCATGAAAACGGGCTATGACATTGCCTGGCTATGTACTAGTGGTGTTCTCAGCGAGGCAACCGCGTCTATCTTGATAGCAGACTCATATCTTTCCTCATGACACAACATACCTGAGCCCCGAACTACCTGCATATTCTGACATTGGCCTTTGTTCCCGAGGACGTGGTCTGCGCAACTTTACCAAACGGTAGTATTCTGATGATGAGCTCATCTCATTTGGTTCCTGGCGTCGACACACAACTCCGACCCCGCAGTACATTTCTTACTGAATAATATGCTGGGAATTATGCCGAAGCTACCCACGCATGCGATTGATGGATGATGAATATGTGCGTCTCCACACGTGCAGCCGGTCGATTTGTTTGCTTTTTTGCTGAGTAACAGCGTCTCGCCTTGTTGATTTCACGCTCGTCTTCAATCAACACCAGCATCTACTGCCACTGTGCTTGAGTGTCTCCATTATTTCTTTGTTCCAGTCTCGCAAGCCAAAATCAGCGAGACTGCGTGTTCAGACGCCGCAATGTCGTGTTATCAAGGCATTCGCAAGGCAGTACGCGCCCGGTTCTTTCAAGCGAGGCCACTTCAGACACAGGGCGGGAAGGGGTGGTCACGTCGATGGTTGAGGTAGCCCGCCGAGCAAAGTGCACTCGCGTCGTCGAGAGCCTCCTCGACATCGACCCGTCCTACCAGAAGATCACTCAAGCTGTGGATTCAATGTCCAAGATGTGACTGGCTCGATAGGTCAGATATCATGTCACCTCCGGGTTTCTGTTTAGGGCTTTTGGTCCGTAGTGCTTGACTCACGTGAGGAGGGCCTATGTCATCGCCTGGGCGCCTGTTGGCACCATTGCGCGCCAAAGCAGAAACACGGTGCACGCTCGCTCCGCTTTCGCGAGCAAGGAAATTACCATGCTGACATATCGCGCGATGCGTCATGTCACTACATGCAAGCTTCCAGTCGTGCAATGTACTCCTATGTACTCATCCTTCATTTGCACTTTCGCACGTCCTATCAGGCAGGGGTCGCACGGGCTGCTCTGCCTTTACCCCTATGAGTTTGACAGCTGCGTACAGGGGGGGGGGGGGGGGGGGGGGGGGGGGGGGGGGGGGGGGGGGGGGGGGGGGGGGGGGGGGGGGGGGGGGGGGGGGGAANNNNCACCCCCCCCCCCCCCCCCCCCCCCCCCAAGTCAGGGTGCCTGGTGTTGTTCGGACTCTCTTTGTAAGATCCGTACACCCCATGGACGCTAGGCACCCGAACCAGAGGGGGGAACTGTACTGACAGTGGCCAAAAACGAGTGCCAGGCCCACACGGATGAACGGCACCTCTTATGACGTTTCGTCACTCACCACGGATAAGTATTGCGAGGCTCGAGTAGGACGCCAGCCTAGCCGATTATGCGCCGAGTTGAACAAACGGCTGTGGGTTCGAGCATAGCGTAGGTTTCACTTCCCGGCCGGCTGTTAGTTCCGTTCAACGGTGCAGGAGGATCTGCGGCCTACCTGCAGGCTGCGGAACGTGCCATGACTTGGCGCGCAAGAACCTCGGCCTCCACGCGAAGCGCTAACGGTTTGGGCGTCAGCAATTTGGAGACGCGGAGATGAACTCGACGGTGGGGTGCGCGTTTAGGAATGCCAACTCTATCGAGCGAGGAAAGAAGCCACTTGACACTGCTGATCTGGAGCTCAACTACACCAATGGATTCCACGCGCAGCCAAAGCGGTAGTGAGCGCATTCCAGCTTGCCCAGGTGGTAAGATATTTGCGACCTGGAGTATCAGCCTCGACGAGACATGGTGAGACAATTGTCTTGTCGGGCCTACAACCGGGTGTGCAAGGATTAGCGGCTGAACGTTGTCATTGTCGTCGAACACGATCTGTCGCTTGCAGGTGCTGCAACACTACGCCTGTGCCACATCAGGCCATGTAGACGAAAAAGGACGGCGACTGGTGCCGGACAAACGAGAAGAGCCAGCAGCCGATCGTAGTGGTAATTTCCAAGGCTGCCCACGAGCTGGCGGGTCACCAACTCCCAGTGCGTTGCCCGCTGGCTATCACTCTTCTCGTGAACTGCGTCTCGAGATGCTCCACAGCGCCCCATCCCGAGTGCATCTCGCTTTCGAACATCTCATTCGGCGGCGCCAAAGTCATCGCGATCTTGAGTTACCATGCATCATGCTACAACTCGCAACCAGTTCTGAAATGCTGATGATACCTGTCTTCTCGTACCCTCTCCTCCAGCCATATGATATTTGGAGAGTTGACTTTGCGTATGTATCCTGATGCCAACAGTATACAGCAAAGGCAGGCTCTCATTGCCTTTCCATTTACGTCTCTTACTTTCAATCAATATTTTCAAGGTTTGCCTGCAGACAATGGCACCAAACACCAGATCCGGATCTGGATCTGGATCAAGTCCAATCCCAAACAGCCATGCACGACACACCTTGGCAGGCACGCACGCCACTGATATGTCTGAAACACGCATTCATCGTTACCTTGTTGTTGATCTACTCTGCATTAGAATCAATATCGTTCGCAGCCGCACCGAAGGCAATCCCTTACTGAATGTTGAAGCCGATTGCATGTTGCCTCCAAGCAGTAGACCGAGCACTGATGGCTTCAGGAGAGACTTGCTAGCCGAGAACATCCCGTCTCCTGCCAATGCTGCAGTGCTGGAACCTGTGTGGCTTGGCTATCACAGTTCGACGCACGGTAAGTTCCTGAAGGGCTGATATTACCTAGGTAGCGTGGCGGCGTGACGCATTGTGTAAGCAGCTATAACAATTAAACAGGTGCTGTTTGTAGAGCTCTGCCTGTAGTCCCATCCTATTGTTCTTGTTCCCCCAACTTCATCGTAACCTTTACTTCTTCTCTTCTCATCGCACAATGCGCGTGTACAGCCTCAGGTCTCGGCGCTCTCCCCTAGCGCCGCTTCGAAGTCCTCAGTCTCCCAAGTCGCGCAAGCCTCCGAAAAAGTCAGCCATGCCCTCTACCCAGACTTCGCGAAAGCCCTCTCGCCGGCGTTCTGGCTCCGGATCGACCATCCGAGCACCTCATCTTTCCGTTGGCGATCCCGTTGACCCGAACTTGGGAAAATACACACTCGACAACCTGCCCTTATTTCGCTGTGGGAAGTTGCCATCCGAGGTGATTAAGCAAGTCGAGAAGTTGGTGAAGTATATAGGATCAAAGGTCCCGATCGGCCAGAGATCCTCTTGGCTGAAGGGACACCTGGAGGACGCTCATCTCAACCACATCGGCTTTGGAGATATGTTCGAGAGGCCTGATCGGGCCAAGGAGACGGAAGTGCTGAAGGAAATGGAACTGCAGCATCCATCACCGAGCGACTTTGAGAAGACGTATAAGGCTCTCCTTCCAAAACTGCCAAAGTGTGAGACGCCGCAGATCCGGGCGTTGAAGATGCTCGATATGTACAGCAGGACTGGCTGGATGATGGACAAGGCGTGGGCCTATCTCGAGGACAACTTTAACGTTGTAAATGGCGGGTGCTGGATTGCAAAAAAGACGGCTTGCGAGGACTACCCGTAAGGATTTCGCTCGAAGGATCGCCCTAGGCTTCATGTCACGGTAAGTACTACATTTTCGGTGCAAATACCGAAACTATACTAACTTTGCATTTCTAGCAGTCCAAAGTAGATGTACATGTACCTTACAACTGGTTCTCGATGATTGTACGCGGGTATGGACATCTCCTGAAATACTGTACTACGCGACGACAGGGTCTGAGATGGGATGTATCCCATCTGTGCGGCCACAGCCACTGCGTGCGTCCCTCGCACATCATCATCGAGCTTCATCTCGAGAACCTGGCTAGACAGCAGTGTGAGGGTGGCGAGCGATGTCGTTGCGGCGACATCCCAGACGCACCTGGCTTTGGGCATCGTTGCCTGGGCCGCCGGAGCTGTTCGAATACTTGCCCAGCGCATCTGCGGCGTTTGATCCGAGTAATCGAGAAGCTGGACATGTGGAAAGAGTGGATCGACGCAACAGACAAAAAAAATGCCGACAAAGAAAGAATTCCTATACATCCCAGCATGCGCTGCCGGGTGACCGAGAAGCAAGATTACGAAGAGCGCCTGCAAGATGCGCTTGAAGCTGTTAGCGCCGGGAAGGACGAGGAAGCTACCCAGACAGCACGCAAGAGGAAGGCGGACGAGGAACCCGTGGAGCGGATCCAGAAGAAGGCTAAAGCTGTGACGGAACGTGAGGTGTCACCTCGGAGCAAGGCCACAACTATGGCGCAACGTCGGGTTTCCAACAAGAAAAATTAAGTTGCGACACCAGTGATGGAAAGGATTTGTGGGCAGAATAGTTATCTTTCTCTTTGTATTATTATACAATTCATGCAAGCTATCCAAAATCTCCTCACGATCCTCCAACGTCCAAGTCCGCCGTGAAGTCTTTCCGAATCGTCAAATTTTCAAAGGTTTCCTGATTTTCGATGACCAGGCCTTGTTCGTTGGCCAGATGCAACAAACAAATAAAGCAGTAGCTTGTGGAGATATCAGCCAGGGTTTGTTTTGGGTAGACGGCCTGTAGGCTGTTGACAACGTCGGTAAAGGTCAACGAACCATCCACGGCCTTGTTTGCTGGATCGTCGGCAACATTGGGCTGAGGAGGCGCAGAAATCTGATGGTTGTGAGCTTGCGAGTCAGATGAAGACGGCTAGATACAACTTACGCCATCGAACCCGATACCCCTCCAGAGTTCGTCCTTTAGTCTTTTCACGTCCACCTTCTTTGCGACCCTTGCGTACTGGACGTATTCAGGCCGAAATCGTCGGCTTTGCGTCACTAGCTGAGCACCGAATGCGTCGGTCTGCGAACCCGGTTGCATGCCGTCGAGTGGTAGTGTAGCTTCAGGTGCGTCAGGCGGCGGCGAGAAGTGATCGCGCGCATCTGCAAACACATCGTCATCGTCGAGAGGGCCACTAGGTATCTGGAGACCATCATCCTGGAAAAAGTCGGCGTCGTAGTTTCCCTGTGCATCGTCACCGTCGCCTTCTTGACCCTGATCAGCCCAGTATGCTTCGTCCACGCGTGCTGGATCTCCAGGGAGTGCATGTGCACGGCGTCCTCCCTTGCGTGAGCCCATACGCGCCTTGGGTTTAAGGAAAAGACGCAGCAGCTGTTTGGAGTTGAAGTGCTTGTCGTCTGGGAGAAGGTTGCGCGACCTGGACTTCCATTGTGCTTTGGGTAGAGATATCGCGGAGTTGGATGTCGCAGGCGTGTAGAGCACATCTGCTAGTGTCTGTGACATTGGAGCTGTGAAGTCGATCTCGAATGGCTCCCTTTCCTTCCGTTTCGTCGCCGGTGCTGTCTTTGCGGAATGCTTGACGCGTGAGATGCGCCAATGCTCAGGCCCTGCCCAGCTCTTCTTCAGAGCTTGGTCAAAATAGCTAAGGATGTTCTCTTGTTCTTGGTCGCGGCCGTGCATCATGGACACGCCATACTGAGCGTCGGCACTGTCTGTGTTCTCGTCGCCATTCAGGTCCATGGTGTGGATGCGAGCTTGTGGATGCTGGATAGCCTCACGAGCCCAGATCTCCCCGCCTTCGCCAAAGCCCGTCTCTGGAGGCAGATCAAACCCGCCCATATTCAGGTCATGATCGTCGTCAAATTCCATGGGGTTATCGTCGCCGAGAAAAAGACCTGATTGGCTGCCTGCGTTGTCGTCTCCGTGCTTGGCTCCGTCTTCACTGGAGGAGTTGTCAGCAGCCTTGAGGAAGGGAAGGTCCATAGAGCCATTCACATCGCCGAGATCGAACGTCTTCATCGACGGACACACGTCTTGCCGGTCGAGCTGGGAAAGATCGTGGAAGTACTTGGCAGTCAGGCCGGATATGTCAACATCGATGGCGTCGGGGGCCAGTTGATGGTCATGAGTGGGGAGTGAATCTTGGGTGGCGGCATCGTTGGCGTCATCGCTGCTGTCGAAGACAATCCTGCCGCTCCCGTCTATAGCCAGGTGGTTAAGAAGGAGTCCTTTGGCCCCGCCCTCGTCAAAGTCGGCCGAGGCTTTTTTGAAGAGCGGATCAACCGAGAACTCGAGCTCCATCTTCTTGTTCTGCAGTTGGGCAAACGACGACGCGAGCGTGGCTTCTGCAGAGCGAGCAGCCCTCTTCTTGCGCTTCTTCTGGCCATGCTCTCCGGCTTCAGCCTCCTCGCCGTCGCCCTCATCCTCGTCGCTCCCATCGGCATCGTCGCCGTGTCCTCTCCGCTTCTTGCCCACATTCTCGGCGAGTCCGCTGAGCAGCTTGCCCGTGTCGGTCGCAACGCTGTCGACTCTGCTGGTGTAGATCTTGACACAGCCGTCTAGCGTGCAGCTAGCCTTCTGGAAGTTGACGCCGTCGCCCTCTTTGAGCAGGGACATTTCGTGGAAGTAGTCGATCAGGGCGAAGTTCCACGAGTTGTTTGCGTTGATTTTCTGAGCGGGGCGTTAGCTTGGAGCAGCGACGACGGGCGTGCGCATGCCTACGTTGTCCGTCGCCATCTTCATCCATTCCTCGAAGTTGGCCAGCAGCGGCATAACGCGGGTGCCTGGTGTGACAGCAGTGCCAGTGACATCGGGCATGTCGTCGCCATCTTGCGACGGGGTGTGTGGCGTGTCGTGGGCGGCGGCAAGCGACACGCGGCGGCGTCCGGGAGTCGCAGTCGTAGTCGAGGCGCGCATCGAGTCGCGCTGGGCCTGTTGGTGCGCATGGCGGCGGGCAGCCTTTTCCTGGCGGTCGTCGTTGAGCGGCACTCTGCGAGCGACGGGTTAGCCTAGCAATGCGCCCGCACGGAGCGTTGGGGCCTACTTAACGGGCGTCTTCTGGGGCGAGGCGGCCGTGGTATACTTGGTGGAGCGCGCCATGTTGGGCGATGGGTGTGGTGCTGCAACAGCGGTTCTGGCGTCGATGCCATGTTGCTGTTGTTTGTTTGGGCGCCACAGATGCCCCGCTGCTATCACCAGACAGGCAGCGGCAGCACCGCCACGCGCTAGCGCAGTGGCGGCATTTCCCCGGACCAGCCAGCCCAAACGCTTCACGCACCGCCCTCCGCTGGCTCGCCGCCCGCTGTGCCTTCACGCCTCGCACCGCCTAAAACCCGTCTTCTCCTCGACTCGTCAACCAACATGCCTCGGCCATGGACGACCTGACCATCCTCGCCCACGCCCAGCGGTTGCGCCGCCCCCGCTACTCGGCGCGCCCTTTCGCCCTCACCATCCTCGCCATATCCCTCATTTCGCTGCTGGCATGGGCCCGGTCGCAAGCCCCAGCCGGGCGTGCTCTGCACACGAGGGGGGCCGTCTCGACCAAGGACGCCGAGTGCCGCCTCGTCCACCATGCGCTGGACCAATGCGACTTTGTGCGCGCAAACTGCCCCGATGAGGAGGCTGGCGTCATGTCCTACCTCGCCCTCTACTACTGTCGCCTCCCGCACGCGAAGCCCGTCGCTTTTGTCCTGCTGACGCTCTGGCTCGCCCTCCTCTTCAGCACCATTGGCATTGCCGCAAGCGACTTCTTCTGCATCAACCTCAACACCATAGCGCGCATGCTGGGCATGAGCGAGAGCCTGGCCGGCGTGACCCTGCTCGCCTTTGGCAACGGCAGCCCCGATGTCTTCTCCACCTTTGCCGCCTTCCGTACCCACGCTGCCAGTCTGGCTGTCGGCGAGCTTATCGGTGCTGCCTGCTTCATTACCGCTGTCGTCTCGGGCTCCATGGCCCTGATCCGCCCCTTTCAGGTTGCGCGCAAAAGCTTTGTCCGTGACGTCGGCTTCTTTCTTGTTGCTGCTGCCTTCAGCATGGGCTTCATTGTCGACGGCAAACTCCACCTGTGGGAGTCCGTTAGCATGGTGGCCTTCTACATCTTCTACGTCGCCTTTGTTGTGGCCTGGCACTGGTGGCTCAACCTACGAAAAGCCCGACGCGCGCGAGCAGCCGCTGTTAGGAGCCACTACGTAACACCCGGCGGTGAAGAGGAGGAGTTTCCAGAGTACCACGACGACGAAATCAGCGCTGCTTCTGCGACCCCTGCGTACGGCGCCTCCGCTGACGACTTTTCCATGCTCGAACGCGCAGGAGGCGACAATACGATACATGACGATGACAACGAGGAGGAACGTGAGCGCTGGATGGGCGAGTTGACCAACAATATGCGCGTCAACCGCCCAAGCGTGTCGCGGCGCAACACCCATACCCCGATCCGACCCAGTTTAGTAGGAGCTTTGGAGTTCCGAGCCGTACTTTCCTCGCTGCAAAAGTCGCGCAACATCCAGTCTATGCCAATCAGCCTGCGACGGTATTCCGACGACCCTACCTACACTACTGCCCAGCAGCAATCCTACATCGGACAGACTACAGGTCCAGCGACTCGGCCTCCATTTGACCTGCCTTCTTCCGCCTCCAACATCTCCACCTCACCCCACCTGAGCCGACCGAATCTCGAGATCCAGCAGAGTCTAGGCAACCGAGCGCGAGCTGTCTCCACCAATGACATTGACAATGTTCAACTACAGCCAAGCACCCTACAAGGACAATGCGTGCCTGACATAACATTTGCGTCTGCCACTCCCAGCGAGCGCAACGGATTGTTGGAAGCGCCGCCCTCACCAACCATCTCGTTATCTTCGCCAGTCTCCCGCTCTTCTAGAGCCCCGAGTCCTACGGCACCGAGAGATAGGCTGCTTTCACCCAACAATTTGGCGCCTCCAGGTGCCGAGGATGGAGCGCCCCTTCGTGCAGTCCTGCCTTCGCCGAATCTACGATCAAGCCCGGCATCAAACTCCGGCCATAGCCGCGAACAGCCTAGTCTGAAGCTGGCCGTACCAGATGCGACTTCCCCACCCATACCATTCCCGCCTTACACCGATTACCCTTGGTCAGCACAGTCCACTTCCAGACCTCAGAGTCTACGTCCGCCTTCGCCAAGTGTGTCACTCGAATCTACCTACTTCCCACGAGATTCCTTTGGGCAGCTCGAACCAACAAAAGTTCCCACGTGGTGGCCCTCGGCACTCCTACCGACCCCGCATAGTCTGGTTGCTACCCTCTTTCCCACTTTGACCAACTGGCGTGACAAGAACGTTTTCGATAAGCTTTTGGGGCTAGTCGCAAGTCTGCCTGTATTCCTGCTTACTATAACGCTTCCGGTGGTCGAGCCGCAAAAAGACGAGAACGACGGAGGCCATGCCCAGCTTTCCCTGGATCTCGGTATGCCACACGCAGCTACACCAGGTGATGCAAGCATGAGATCGCAAACTCCCAGTGTATCCCTTGTCTTGCCACG